AGACTGGAATTGAGTTTCACAATGGTGTGTATTTGTGGGGCCAACTGAGTCAAAATCAGCCTGCTTGTGGTTGTGGTTGGACAATTGGTGGCTGCTGCCTGCTGAGTGGGATGGCTACTGAAGTTGCCAAAACATGGCATCCCTTGTAGTATTTGGGGGAAATTTTGCAACTTTATCATTAACATCCCAATAACTTTCATTTTAACTAGGCAAAAATGGAATACTTTCTCTTTTTGAAAATGGTTTCACTGACAGGGTGACCGAAAGTGTCCGATTTTTGGGGGGCCTGACCGACCGATTACCGAATCGGTCAGCATATCTTTTCGGTAACCGATTTTTTCGGTAACCGATTGACACCACTACTACTAACCGGTCTCTAGCGATGTGCCAAATTTGAGCACAATCGGCCCAGCCGTTCTCGAGATCTGGAAGCGGCACCCTGTACGTGCGCACGTGCAAAATGGGTCCCAACTGACTTTTGCACGGCACCCTACTAACCGGTCCCTAACCATGTGCCAAATTTGAGCGCCATCGGTCCAGCCGTTCTCGAGATCTGGAATCGACCCCTGCACGTGCGCACGTGCAGCAGCACCCCAATTCTGGCACATGGATATGCATTGCCTAGTGGGTGTCTACCTACATGCCAACTTTCAGCGCAATCGGCCAATTAGTTACCGCGATATTGCAACAATTACAAAAGTGACACCTCTTCGTTTTGCACGTGGCACGTGCATAAGGGGTCACCCACATGCATCGGGAATAGTCCAATACTTAGTAGAAGGAATGAAGCTACCCACCCTACAAAAATTACCGCGTGTAAATCGGTCAAGTGGTTGCTGAGATATAAGCGTCGCAGAATCGTGACCACGGCCGGCCGGCCGGCCGGCCGGCCGGCCGCTCATGCTCAGAAATTTCCGTTAATCTAATAATAATATAAGGAAAGACTCGCTTCGCTCGCTCCGTAAACAGCAATCATAAAGCGTGTGTTTGTCGTGTTTGTCGTGACACCGGGATTAGTTCTAATTCGATGTCTGTCTCGTTTTCAGGTGCAGGAGGTGGGTCGTGTCGCGCCGGGCTCCCAGCCCGAGACTGGCTCCATCGAGCAGCAGGGTAGCTTCGAGTTCGTCGGTGACGACGGCAACACCTACCGGGTGGACTACACCGCCAACGAGGGTGGCTTCCAGCCGCAGGCCCCTCACCTGCCAGTGGCGCCGGCCCAGATTCCCGAGTACGCCCAGCTGAGGCAGGAGCACCCGGAGCTGTTCTGGGCCGAGAACGGAGGAGCCGTCATCCAGCAGCAGCCGCAGCAGTTCTTTTAGGACATAGTTATATACACTTAGTCACATGCGAATGAATGCCAGACCTGCCTGGGTGTCTCTTTGTACAGCCAAAGACAGTTCGACTTTGTACAGTTCAGCCCTTGAAGACACCGTGAATACTCTGCGCTGTTGATGGACACTGCTCAGTGAAATACAAATTGAAACCATATCTTCGTACCTGCTTACACGTTCGTCGTTCGGACAAAAACCGCGAGAAAATAAAAGCGTATTATTGTGTTGAATGATGATGGATAAAATTTACACGATCGGGGCTACTATTCGGTGTATGACACTGATATAATTAATTGCCGCAACCCTAATGATTTTCCAAACATTAAACAGAGTAGGTATCACGAATAATTTCATAACGGCAGAGGCTCCGAAAGCTTTGTTTCGATCAGATGATGCTCTTGGCTAATGAAATCGTTCGGGCCGTCGTTTCCCATGTTTTATGAGGTGAACACTGTCATATGTTCTTCATTCTCTGCGGTTCACTGCAAAGCCCAAAACGCCATTTTAGATTATCAAAGATGTTCTTGTACTGCTGAAGTGCGAACTGCATGCCTTTTATCCATGGAATGGCCTGACTGGGGTATATTCCATAACACCAGTCACACTGGAGGTACAATGGAGGGTTCTACAGCCTTGAGGCTACTATTCTGATTTCCGATATTTGAACAGTATCTTATAGTCCTTGAAAACTATCTCATTTGCCTAATAATAGCCGTTTTCACGACGGACTATCTGGCGAATGCACCTAAATTCACCAAATCTGCTTCAGAGCTCTTTTACAACAATTTCTTCATATCATAAATTTATTTCAGTGTTTCCATCGAAAATAATGTCTGATAATTTGAAAAATGGGATCTATAAGCAGCTGTGCAACCCAAACTAACAACTTTCAAGAAGCTCAGTTGACCTAATTTGACCAAATCTACACCAAATCTGCACCAAATCTGCACCTAATTTGCACCCAATCTGTACCAGATTGTCGTCATGAAAACAGCTCTTGTTAACTTTGAAGTCATTGATGACGTTTAACCTTCGCCCCAGTGGGGGGGGGGCACATGTTACCACCCTGTCGCGTTTTTTGCGTGTGAATAAAAAACCGCGGCGCGTAGCGCCGCGCCGCCTAGAGTAGCTTTTTGTACATCAATTTTGAACAATGTGTGAAATTTTTGACACCAGGTCATGTCAGGTCAGGTCACCAGGTCAAGTTAACTGACCAAGCCAAAAAAGGTTTGCAGTCATGTCCAGCCTGCAGTGTTTGTCAGAGAGCTTTTAAACTTGGTGGATTGCATGATGTTATGGGAGCCTATGATTTGTAAATCTCGGATTTTTTATATCCGTGACCTAAGGTCAGGCCAGTGACGTCACGACCTTTCCATTATAAGTCAATGGAGACAAACAAAAATGCCTCTAGATCCGTGTGTACGCATAGGATCAGTCCAAATATTTCGGAATCACAATGGTTTGGACCATCCGTAACGACCAAGGTGTGTTTTTTGCTGAAAGCCTCTAGAAAGGTCATCCGAAGTCATTTGAGGCTACAAACAGCTTTTTGCCAATAACTCGCGATTGGAAAGAGATAGAACGCTGGGGATGGTCTCATTGTGTTTGTCTTGTTGAGACACACCGACTGATATGCAACATTACTTTTTCCGGTCAGGTCATGACCTTGACCTGAGGTCAACTTTTCAAGTTGACCTTTCAAGGTCAAATTATAGTTCATTCGACGCGTCTCGGCGAGAGGAACACGATTCTGGCAGTAGAAATGTCGTGGCTTTTTGTAGTCGAAAGTTATTGTCGAAAACACTTTTCGTAAAAACAGCTATTTTTTAGTTTTAGCCCTTTGGAGGCTAAACCGTTGACCTGAGATCAATTTTGATATGATCTTATCAAAAGAAGAGTTGAAAAGCTATCGATTGCTTTTCCATGCGTTTTTCTAGCTACCATAGTTATTAGTTCCTGAGATAACGGCATGTTTTCTGAAAAATATAATGACCATTGGCAAATTTTGACCTTTGATGACCTCTGGTGACCCCAATATTGCTCAAAGATGAGAAATGACTGAAATACGTTCAAACGTACGCATTGAGAGCTATCGACTGCTTTTTACCGCGTCTTTCTAGCCCTCTTAGTTTTTGAGTTAGAGGTGGGTGGTAAAATATGCCCCCCCCCCCCCCCACTAGGGCGAAGTTGGCTGAGACCGCCACTGGGGCGCGGGTTAAGCTCAGAAAGTAAACACTAATAATAATTGGCATGTTTACTGGTAGGGTGATGAAGGCCGCTAAACACAGAACGTCGAGCTCGATTTTGGTTTACCCACTCATGAACGCATGGTAAGGGTATCGGTACCGGGTCCCTGCTCGCTACGTTTGAGGCCAAAACTACATACTCGTAGTTCACAAATGTCATGGAAATTAGAAGCATGTACAAAAGCCATGTGAAACGTGTTTCATGGTCAATGTCGGCCATCGATCTTGAGTATAATGTTAATACTACCGTCTCAGGGCTTCTTGCTAGTGAATGTCATTGGCAGGTGCCGACCATTGAGATCAAATTAGATCAAATTTTGAAGTGAAAAATATAGATTATGTAGGTTTATGTATAAATATAGGTTTATGTATAAAATATATAAAATATAGGTTTATGTATCGGATGCAGTTTTAGCTCATAACATGAGGGTGTTGCCTATACTTATGTGTTTTATCAGGGCTTTGGCCTCCAGAGTGCACTGCAAGGAAAGAGTATCCGAATGTCGGAAGGTTTGCAAATCGTAAATCATAGACTACAATAGTCGTTTTCACGACGGCCATGTGGTACACATTTGGTGCACATCTGGTACAGATTAGGTGCAGCTTTGGTCAAATCAGGTTCAGTGTGTGTCTTAGCAGCTATCAGCTAGGGTTGCGCTAATTGCTTATATGCCTGACCTGTCATATTATCAGAGAGCATCGTCGATTAATACACTGAAATAAAATTCATAAAATGAAGATATTTGCTGCAAAAGAGATTAGGTGCACATTTGGTCAAATCAGGTGCACTCGCCGGATACGGATAGCCCGTCGTGAAAATGGCTAGTATGGCTGAAACACTTCGCTCCAAATTCTTGTTTCTCAGCTAGCGACAGTCTTTCACTACCGAACAATAGACCAGTATACATCAGGGGCGGATCCAGAAAATCTCCAAGGGAGGGGCCATTAGAAACCAGGAGGCCCCCCCCCCCCCCATAATCCCACCTGTTGGAGGCCCCATCTTCCCACTTGTTGGGCCCCCCCCCCAAAAAAAACTGCGTCTATTGAGCTTATCTAGCTGTTCAGGCAACATCTCAACATCTGTGCAGGCTTGGAGGCCCTCTGTGCAGGTTAGGAGGCCCTGTAAAAGTGGTCATCTCTGTGAGTATAAGAGACCTCCAAGTTATGAAAAGCTTTACCAATCTTCTAACAAAGAAGTCTTCTCAGCTAGTCTTCTAAGAAATAACTAAGTGGGTAGGTTAAAAAAAAAAACTCATCGGATTTTGGCCACTTTATTTTCAGGAGGCCCCCTTTTCAGCTTTTTAACTTTTTAACTTTTTATTTTATTTTTGAAAAAAATCGGCCAAGGGGGGGGCCATGGCCCCCATGGCCCCCCCCCCTTGTATCCGCGCCTGGTATACATATATATTCAGTTTGTATTTCGATAATAAGGGCATCATCAACAGGGAAGGCAGCTGACAAAAGCATTTTACGGTGTCTTCAGAGATTGGACAGTTCCTTTGTACAATAAAACACCGGCACAGGTCTTATACTCATCGGAAGTGACTAGAAGTAATGACTTATTTGCTCCTAAAAGAACTGCTGCGGCTGCTGCTGGATGACGGCTCCTCCGTTCTCGGCCCAGAACAGCTCCGGGTGCTCCTGCCTCAGCTGGGCGTACTCGGGAATCTGAGCCGGCGCCACTGGCAGGTGGGGGGCCTGCGGCTGGAAGCCACCCTCGTTGGCGGTGTAGTCCACCCGGTAGGTGTTGCCGTCGTCACCGACGAACTCGAAGCTACCCTGCTGCTCGATGGAGCCAGTCTCGGGCTGGGAGCCCGGCGCGACACGGCCAACTTCCTGCACCTGAAAACGAGACAGACATCGAATCAGAACTAATCCCGGTGTCACGACAAACACGACAAACACATGCTTTATGGCTGCTGTTGGTATCTTGTCTCCTAATCGGGTCACCGTTTATACTATACAGACTTAAAGGGACTATCCCACCTTCTAAAATGTTGTTAAAACCAGTTAAATTGTGCCCGACTTTATAGATTGGATGACCAGGAACACGGTTCTGGCATTTATTTTTCATTAAACATCTTAGGCTTCCCATATTCCAAACACAAACTTTCAAATATGTGACGTCACAGCCCAAAATTACCTCCTTCCCCAGGCCACATTACTGTCATAAAGCGGATTCTTTTTACTTGGTAGGCACCACAACAAAGTTCAGACCAAGTTTTAAGCGATTTTTCAACGAACAAACCCATTTAAATCAGAATGACTAAACGAGGTGACGTCACACTAACGGTCGCTCCATGTTGAAGATAGGGCCTTGTACAAGGCCCATTTTCAAATGAAGGGAACGAATTTCTTCAACACCAAGAGGCCGCGGGGGTTGCAACCTAGATAGATAGTGGTTTCTGAACCTCGCCGCAAACTTGGCTATCTCAACTCAAACCCCATGTTAAAGGTGGGATAGTCCCTTTAATAACTCTGGCCTCAACTCAAGCTGCTTCTGAAGCCCGCTGAGTAGCACCGGTGTGCGCGCGGCGGTGTGCGGACTCACCCTCTGTCCGTTGTCCTGCTCGTAGGCGTACTCGTAGTTGCCGATCTGGTCCTGTTCGTTTTTCTGGCTGAGAATGCGCACCTGCGGCTGGCTGACAAACTGCTGCTGATCAAACTGGGGAGCCGCCGCGACCACAGCCACCACCAGCAGGAACGCGAACTGAAAAAAACGCAGTTAGATGTGTGTGATGTCATCAGGGTTACGGTTATTTGATCGGAGACTTGGTAGATGTAGGATGGATCACTGATTAGCTGAAATTTAGATATAACATTTAATTAACACCCATTTTTTAACTTGCTCAGGACTAGTATGCATGACAATTAGATATTAAATACGTACTCTGCCGCACTAAATGCTGTAATTTAGGCACAAGGACCTTTATTTATTAGCTATAGTGCGTTGAGTTTAATACAATCATCAATCCGACTCCCTACCATCTTCATGATGTGATGTGATGTGATGAGCTGGGTGGTCCGTCAGAAGCTGGTGATCGGCACGGCGGCAGCGGGCTTATAAAGAGCCCCCTCCCCGTCACCCCTCCCCCGTCAAGGTAGCCCGGTCCGCCGCTCCGATGGGCGGCCGTAACCAGACGAGCAGCTTAGCAGGCAAATGAAAGTGCAAGTGGACACCAAGTTTATGTACAGTAGTACCGCCTGTTCTGGCCAAATTCTATTTTCCAACATACTAGGAGGACAAAAACCATAATCACAACCTTTTTTGCTTTTTTTAACCCGCGCCCTGCTGGGGGGGGGGTGTTTGAACACCCCCTCCTTGTGGTTTTTCGCGAATATCTCAAAAACGGCGGCGCTTCGCGCCGCCGTTTTTGGTACATCTTATCATACATCAATTCTACACATGCTGTTAAAATTTCAGACCAAGGTCATTCAAGGTCAAGGTCACTTGAAGTGACCTCACCTCATAAAAAGTTTCAATGTCTGCCATAGCTACACCGAGTCACCGATCGCTTTGAAACTTTTAGCGATTGCTAAGGGCAATAGCATGTACAAAATGTAGGTATATCTCAGAATTTTGATATCGATGACCTAAGGTCAGGTCAATTTTGCGACCTCCCCATTATAAGTCAATGGGAGAAAATTAAAATGCGCCTCTTTTGGACAAATGACATTACAAACACTCCTAAACACTGAATTGCAAGTGGTTTAGACACACTGAACATGAAAATGGTGTCTGTGACCCCTGTTTATGCCCCTGAGATCATCTTAGGTCACAAATGATATCTGACAGTTTTTCGCAAATAACTTTTGATAGAGGCATGCTAGAGCGATGAAAACGCCTTAGATGTGTTCAGCTCGACGATACAGATCGACTGATATGCAACATGACCCTTTCCGGTCAGGTCATGACCTTGACCTGAGGTCAAATTTTCATAGGTCCCCTGCATGAATCCTAAACTTGTGTAGCACTTAGATGAAAGCTTGTGCACAATTCTGATAGAGTTTATGACGAGAGACGTTCAGTGCGAGGTCCCAAATTTCACCTGGCCTTAACCCGCGCGGGGCTGGGGTCTCCAGCCGAACGCGCCGGGCGGGGGGGGGGGGTGTAAATTTTACCCCGAACTAATAATCTCCCGAACTAATGGTTCGATTTGGAAAATTCAAACGCCAATCGAAAGATCTCATCACGAACAACTAAAAACATGTACTAAATTTAAAGTTTGAGGTCAAGGTCGAGGTCAGGTCAAGGGTACAAATTGCAAGTTTCTACAGTATCGCCCTTGCACCGTAGTTGCCGAAGAATGGAGTCATGGACTGAGACTGATTGCCCAAAACGTGTTCTTAGGCTACCAAGACAATATTCGTTGCATACAATATCATTCAGAGGTCAAGGTCAAGGTCAGGTCAGGTCAGGTCAGGTCACCAAAAACAAAATATAGAAAAGGGCATGTGAGACACATGTTTTATGGGTCATTTTATTCATAGAATTCAATAGGCATACTATTACTCAATAGGTGATATGGACCACATCTGGATGAATTTCAGGTCGAGGTCAGGTCAAGGTCAGGTCAAGTTAGGTCAAATTTTGAAGTTGTTTGTTAAGGCCTAAAAAGGTGTCTATCTGATGCAGTTTTTCACGGCCAATCGAATGGTGCTATTTTTGTTTCCGTACGAGGTCTAGAACTAAAAAAAACATTGTTTGTCGTGACGTCATAAACTTTTGAATAACTCCCACATTTTTCAACGGCTTCTTCTAAAAATTGGTATGTAGGTGCAAATGGACCACTTCTCTGACATATGTTCCGGTTTTTTTGATACACGCAAAATGTTGGATTTAATAACTTTTTTCCCAAAAAAGTCAGTTTTTTCAAATTGGGCCAAAAACAAAAAAATCAAAAAAACGAGATAGCCATTTGATAGACAAGCTGGAATCACGTATAAGCTTTTTGTTACAACTTGATTCCCTTAAAAATAATGATGTTAGCGGCGTTTTAAATTTTGCGGTTTTTGAGGCGAAAATGGCGAAAATGACGTCACTAAAACGTCATTGTCTCAAAAAAGTTCCGAAGGATTTCGCTCAAATTTTCAGAGAACATGTCACATTGATGTAAGTAAAGGTACTGAAAGTTTGGCGGCGCTGCGCGCCGCCGTTTTTGAAATATTGCAAAAATTCGCGAGAGGGGGGGGGGGGTAAAATTTACCCCCCAGCCCCGCGCGGGTTAACCCTCGCCGGACCTATTGGTTTTCTACATACGCGCCGGCCGAGGGGGGGAGCGGGTACGACCCCCCCCTCGCCGTTTCGCCCCTGGTGGAGCTAGCGCGTCGCGGAAAAAAACGAGCGTGTGCGCCGTTACGAGACGCAGAGATTGGTACCCGATTTTAAGGTCCTAGGTCAACCGGTGACCTCTGAGGTCAGGTCAAGTGCCCCAGGGTACGGTTCAGTTTGTGGTGAATAACTTCGCAAAAAACGGCCGCAGAGCCGCGATTTTGGCAGCATCGTGTTCGCCTCGCTCAGGCGCGTCAAATGATATACTTTTTGTTCGGGTCAGGTCAACTTAGGGTGGTGACCTCAGGTCAAGGTCAGGTCAGCACCCCAGGTCACGAAGTTGGTCGAAAGAGGTCATGTCGCATATCATTCGATTCGGCTGGTCTTCCTGAGTCCATTGGTGGCTTTCTCGACTCGCTAGCTCAATTTGATCGGGAGTTATTGAAGAAAAACTTTACTATAGGATAATGGCTGTGAAAATACCATATGGGGCTATGGTTAAAAGCCTCTCCCATTAACAACCCTTCAGAGTGCTGTTTATTACCTCATCGTGCACTGTCTGCGGCACCTAGCGGAGGTTCCCATTACTATTAGTTGTGGCGTGGCGTAAGGAGCTGAGTGAGCCCCAGCAGCCCAAGCAGCGCATGATGCATATTTGTTTATTCGATATCAAGGAACAACAGGCTTATGGGCTTTTTGGGTCGAAAATGGCAGAAATGACGTCACTCCGATGAGTCCGACGTCATTAGCGGCCAACCTATCTTAACCTTCGGAAAATTTTGGTCACAATCATGGGCGTAGGAACGGTTGGAACATTGTGGGAGCATGGGTGCAGAAGCCATAGTCGGTGGAGCGGGAGGGGGGGGGGGGTAGGCAGGCAACGGCACCCCGGGTATCATGTTCCAATCCCTCCCGACTTCGGTATAATTAATACATCGCCACCCGTGAGAAATCATTTTACTCTTAACCCCCGCCGGGCAGGGGGTGTTTGAACACCCCCCTGCGATTTTTCGCAGATATCGCAAAAACGGAGGCGCGGAGCGCCGCCGTTTTTGGCACACCTGTTTGTGCATCTTTTCCGCACATGTTGTGAAAATTTCAGACTCAGGTCACCTTAGGTCAGGTCACCAGGTCACGCCAAGTGACCTCACCTCAGAAAAAATAAGAATGCTCGTCATAGCTACACCGATTGATCGATTGCCTTGAAACTTTCGGCGATTGATTAAAGCAACATTAATTATAAAATTTATATCTCTGAATTTTACACACTGAACCGGAAAATAACAACTGTGACCCCTCGTTATGTCCCCGAGGTCATCTCAGGTCACAAACAGAATCTAACAGTTTTTCGCTAATAACTTCTGATAGAGGCGTGCTTGAGCGCTGAAAACGCCTTACATGTGTTCTGCTCGACGTTGCGGATCGACTGATATGCAACATGACCTGTTACGGTCAGATCATGACCTTGACCTGAGGTCAAATTTTTAAGTTGACCTTTCAAGGTCAACTTATAGTTCATTCGACGCGTCTCGACGAGAGGAACACGATGCTGGCAAAAGTAATGTCATGGCTCTTTTGTGTCAAACGTTATTGCCGAAAAAAAAACGGTTTTCGTAAATACGACTATTTTTGCAGTTTTTGCCCTCTGGAGGCTAAGCCGTTGACCTGAGGTCAAATCTGAGAACATTACTCTGAAAGGTATGTGAAAGGGCTATTAAATGCGCTTTTTTCGCGGCGCTGTAGCTCTATCGGTTCCCGAGATAGCCGTTGGCAGTATCCAAAATGTTGAAATAGTCAACATTTTACCTTTGGTGACCTCTGGTGACCTGACCTTTCACCTGACCCAAAAAATGACCGTGTGTTTTCGTCCTTATTTTGGACGTTCTTTCGAGTACCGCTTACCGCGTGCAGTCGCTACGTGGTCCAGGAGCCGAGTTAGAAGCGGGGGGGGGGGGGGTGTTCAGACCCCCCCGGCCCAGCGTGGAATCTCAGAGCACCGGCCCGGCGCGGGTTAATTTGATCTACCAGTTTGATACGAAACATGTTGTCTTGAGTAGGACCGAAGAGCCAGAGAACATTTTGCATCGTAGATCAGCCCATACAATATATGGTGCATGTTGCAATGAGTAGGTACGAAGGGTCCATAACAAAGTAGTGAACGTTTTGTATTGTGGACGGGGACATGTTCTGCCCTAGTTACTTCAATGCAAGAGCTTGGTGACCTGAGTTGCGTTGTCACGTCAGTCGTGAAAATCTAGTGGTAAACATGCAGTGTGTATGCACTGTTCAGACTTGGATGCCTCAGGTTATGCTCAAGCTGGGCAATAAGAAGAAATCCCTGTGCCCCTTATAGTTTTACATTACGTAAGACCTGTACATCTAGGTAACGCGCAGGTTTTGACCTCCCCGGCTCTGTTCCGAAACCATACAGCCAAGCG